TTTCAAAATCAATTAAAGTTAATTTTAAAAAGGAAACTAGTTTAGATCATTATGAGATTTGTTAAATTTGAATTGAATTTATGTAAATATGCCAATATCGATTAAAATTTTCTAATAAAATATGTGTTGTGGTTTCGTTTGCAACTCTTTTTTCTCGTCTGCGCTTTGTTCCAGCTCGTTCGCAAGTTGATGGCGCGCTCGCTTGCTGTAAGCGCGCCCGCCTCTTAAGACCTCGCGCTGGAAAACATAGCGCAACGGGAACAACATGGGGAGGCACCGCAGGATTTATACAACATTCATTTAGATAGATATACGTGACAATGGCGCAATAAAGTTAGTTTTATTGCGCGTAATTAAGTTTCCAGTAATTGCGCTTGCAGTCAAAACACACGAAGCGCGCGGCTAGAGTTGGTTTCTCGGCGGGTCGCGGCGTTTGCTTCGTTTGGTCGACGTTTAATTTTCGTAATTTTCTCTTATATTCTACTTCTTGCACAAACAATAGACTCGTAATAGACCAAAGTTAAATAGAAATTATAACGAGAATTAATCTAATAGACTTATTTTTTCTTTCAAGTTTTTTCCTGATAAGTAAAATTTAATATGTTCTTCAAGCAGATTATTGTGTGGTAAAAAATATTATGGTAATAATATTAATGCTAATGATATAAAAATGTTAGAGAACTTTTTGTGATTTTGTTTTTATTCAAACGGCACGTTTTACTATACTGTGTGTCAATGGATTTACTGTGCTCGTAATAGGTAATTAATGTTGCAGTTAAATTAAACATTTATCATTATATAATTAATAATTTTACTATTTTATTGACATTGAAAAACTAAAAACTTTTTGTGGAATTTTAAATTTGTTACGTTTATGTAGACTAACAAAATAAAATAGATATAATTGTGATTATGACACATGCAGTATATTTGTCTGGCGTTGTGGTGCATAAACGACTGCGACTTGGCAAAACCACCACCGGTACCCTTCGCACGTCCCACAGCATTTTCACGGGCGACGTACGCTAGCACGGCCGTTCGCTCGCCGCTACCGCCGTCGGTATCTATATATCTATTCTATGGCATAGAATCAGCGGCGATAATTTCACAATTCAAAGCTCATCAACGACACATTTCATCCTTATTACGAACGACTTGTTCCGGCAGCCGCGTTTACCATTCACCGCCACATCGCCCGCATCTCACTCACTTCTCTCTCCCATGTCTCTCGCTATACATTGTGCGTTCTGATTCCTTCTGATTTTATCTCTTTCTTAAATCTATTTTACACTTTAGTATGGTACACAAGCATTAGGTAAGTACCTATATAATTCAAATTTTGAATGTTAAAATATTTAAATGAATGAATGGTTAATTAAATTGGATTTTCCTAAGTTGGTTAATAACAATTAAATCGTTGTCGCAATCGAAATATTTCAGCCTTGTCGAGCAGAAAATCCTTATGTTTATTTATTTGCGAGCGAGCAAATTGTCGTTCGTCGTTCTATCCTCTTCTGCAACCCCCGCGCCTCACAGTGAAAACTCGGTTTCGTGGATTTAAATTGAAATTAATTACGGATTGATTTATGACTCTTGTTCGCGAGTGTATGCGATGCGCGCGAATGTAAACGCAACCGAAACGAGTCCGGAACGTCGGAAGCCGCAACTCCCATTCAGTTACGAATCCAGCTTCACAGTCCGAGCTGCTAGCAAACAGTCTTTCGTCCCACCGTTGGCAGAGTGTGTGTATTCCAGGTTCTGTGCCACAAGAGAAAACAGGACAAACCAGTCGAACATTAAAACCAAACACTCTGAAAACTCAGCGAAACAAAATATAGCAAATGTTACGCTACTACTCTGCACTGCTCTGGTGATACCATGGCGGTTGGCGGTAGAAGTCATCCCTATCCACAGCTTCAACCCCCTTTAACCATAAAACGACTTAAAAATTAATTAAATTCAATTTAATTAATGCAAAAGGTCTTTTGCATTTAAATTCCATTGTCTTCCAGTGAGAGTGAGTATGGGGTTGTGTTGTGCATTGTATATACGAACACATGAGTACGAAGATGAAATGGAAACATTCGCTCTAATACTCAATTAATTTAATACAATAGTTGCGCTCGTTTCAGTGCTAGTGTGTTGGCGGGTGTTGAAAACGACACCGCGGTGTTAAGAAGCAGCGTGGTCTGGGTTCCTGAGAATTTTAAAAGTCCTAGCAATAGTCCGGTAGCGCCATCGCATGAGCAAAGAGTTGCAACCTGGAAGAAACTCCTCAGAGCTTGAATAATCGACCGTTCCTGCCATCTAGAGGAGTTCCAAAGTAAATATAAGCAAACGAAAATTGTTGAAGACAATTATAAGAAAAATGTTTTTATCATTACACACTTATGCGTTTTAATTAAATGTATTTTTAGATTGATGGCAATAAGTAAAACGACAAAATAAATAATAATTTATATTATTGCCTTTATTACTTTGTACAAAATATTTAAATGTTTTATAAATTAAGACTAATAACGGTGATGTGCAAAGTAACTGTAAAATCAATCATTAATTGTGACTATTTGTATATGTTCAAACTAATTAATTGATTTGGGTGATTATTACCCTAATGTCTAAAAAATGAGATAAATATGCGTAACTTACATTTCTCCATAACAAATATATTTCCTAACATTTTTCCCTACATTACTATATTACAAATGATATGATTATTTACTTTGTTAAAAATTAAACGCAATAAAAGTGTTTGAAATAAAACGCCAAACAGATAATAATTACCCGCTTGGAAAGTTAATATCAGTTTGCAAATTGTTTCCAAACTTGCGCACGGCAATAATAAGTATAAGCTTTAATTTGTGATTGACAATTATTGAAATTAAAAGCGCACATCGACGTGAGCTCTTAATTAAAAATCATCAAAAACTACGCACATAGAAATACAATCACCGGTTTTAATTTCATGTGCGGCGCGCCGGGCGATATGTTGAAATTGTCATCATATTGCCAATTAAAAAGTGAATTATACTGCGTTCAATTAAAATAAATTTTACATCTAAACGCCTCCGTGTTGCGCACCGTACACTCGCACACAATGCTGTTCATTTTGATTTAAAAATATCCGCGCGTAATTGGTGCTGATACTACGAACAAAACATATATTTTCTGAAGCGTTACCACCAACAAATAATGAAATTTGCATCTTGCTTAATACATTAATAAATGCATTCCAGATGTGATAAGTAATAGGAATAAGTAATTTACTGCTGGACGTATTAAATTTCAATTACAGATTGGAAGCGATCAAATGCAAAATGCATGAAAGGAATAAATGTTTCCATATTGATAAACATTTCGTAATGCAAACAATCAAGCAGGTAGCTAGAGTTGACGTATTAATTTATTACTTGTACCTTCGTTGCGCGATTGTATCAAGGCATTGTTGTAAATTAAAAAATTGCTTGCGGCAATAAAACTCACTCGGATATTTCCGCAGCCTAGGTACATGCACGCATGTGTTTCGGCACATGTACATCACCTTTGCCAATTACAATTACTTGCAGCATGTTCATGGGTGTGTAAAAGTTAATTAATTGGCTTAGTCTGGCAGTTACAGGTGTACCTACTAACGTAATGAAATTAAAATCAATAACATGAAAACGCTTTATTATATCTGCATATCCTGTTGTTGTTCAAACGGTGCACGGTCACTTACTTTCGGCATTCACATCATACATATTCATATCAATATAATAACCAGCACTATGATCTACAATTGAAAGCATTAAAACTTACCTATACAATGTTACCATGTGTTAGGTGCATTCCCAAAATAAAACATGCAAATATTCAATTTTAATGCTATCATTCTGTATTCCATTTCATCAAAATAAATTGGTTTGCATACATCTAAAAAAGCAAAGTTTCAGTTCTTTCGCTTTCCATGCGAAAAGCGAGCTTAGATGGCAACGTTGATCGGATCTAAGATCGTTTACAGACTCCGCCCATATTGAGTAACACTAACGAATTTCCGAACTATTCGTTATCAGAAATCAGGAGAAGAAAAAACGCTCCACCACTAAAAAGTCACCACGAAAAATCACCCAATATATACTCCAGTTCAAATACTTCGAATAGAGTTTTCTATCTTGCATCAAAATCAACTCGAATGTGATCTTTGCGAATTGGGTAATATAACCCCAATCACAATACAAATGTAACCTTGCATGGTACGTACTTATTTACTTACTTAAATTATATAGTGGTTTAATGTTGATTCAGATTCTACCAAAGGCACTAAAAATTATATACAAAAACCATTATTTAAATTTTGTTTTCCCTGAGACGTCACTGTATTAGCGATCTTTTTGGCGAACCAATGTTTTTTTTGTTACCCGCAACTATCCAGTTTGGCAGATAGTTGCTGAACAAAGCGTTTTGTAATGACCAGTAAAGCTCCTCGTAACTATTGTCACCAGTGAGCATTTCCATTCTTTCTGTCCACTCGCCCTCGCTGCGTGTTACATATCCTTTCATCGCTTCCCCACTTCTTTTAAGTCAGCATCGGTTTCTATACGCTTTTTTATTTCGAAAATCTTCTAATCTTTGGTCCGTTCGACTGGTTGGCGTTTGCCAGTTTTATTGCGGCCTTTAATTCGCCTGGACTAATCCACCCATTGGCCGAGGAGGACTTTATTTTATCGCATGCGGAGAGTTTGGGATGCTCATCCCTCGTTGAGAAGCCCCATTCAGCCATGCTTTTTTAGCATTAAGTAAAGATGTGTAAATGTGACAACGGAACAGTTTCCATGCGATGAATTGCGGTGAATCAGCAAGATTTATCGTCGAGCGTAATGTTTCCTTTGCTACAACAATTCTAATCTAATCTTTTCTACATGTGATCATTTGCAACTAATAGCAATGGTATGATAATTTGAAAAATAGACAAAAAAACATTATTTAATAAAAAAGTTTAGTTGTTTATTACTAGTCACCTTAAATATGACATATTTGACATTATGAAAATTTGCACTATGTCATAATAGAATTTAAAAATGACTCCAGAATACGAAGTAATTACTGACCCATACAAAGTCCAAGAAATTCGAACACAAAGATTCTTAACATTAAAATGGTCCACTGAAGAGCAATTATTAAAAGACAGACCCAAGCATGTAAAAGATTTCTTCAAGCACCGGCAAGTACCCTTTAAGTTACTCTGTGAAACAAAATTCAAACGATCACTATTTGGAATATTTCTACATTCGCACAACAAAAATGAAATTCAAGATTATTTTATGAATGACAGTAAATTAGCGATGTTAGATTATGACTTGAAAACATACTCGGAGAATGAGTTGACGCAATTAGAATGCAATAATAACTTTACACCCGACTTGCGGAAATTACTCGAAAGAGCGGTTGACGAACAGGAAGTCATCGATTATGACTTTTTGTACGATAACGTCTACGCGTTAAGATTCTGCGATACTCCGGTAAGTGCACAATTAAAACGTATTAATTCCACAAGACCAAAGGTACAAAATTTGCAGCTGACGTTTATTGATGACCAATTATTAAAATTTCACCACCTGAAAGTGTTAATTCTCTGTGGTAATTGGTTAACGGATATTCCCGGATGTTGTTTGCCCAAGTCATTAGAATACATCGAATTGTTTGCCAATCAAATTGAATTTATTAATAATTTTGCTACTAGAGGACCTAAGGGGTTGATACATATTGGTTTGAGAAGAAATTGGTTAACAAATGGTATGTGATTATACGCTTTTAATGAATAGCTTGTTTCAAAAATAAGAAGGGTTGCTAGTATTAGGGAGCAGTGCGTAGCGAACTAAATGAGTAAAACGAATTATTCCCAAAAGTAATAGATTCCAATTTATCTAATAAAATCCCACCCGGCAGTGAAAACCAAACAAAATACATATAACACATATCACTATACGTAATTTCTCACTCATTCATTAGAATATTCTGCAATATACTTTAATCAGCTCCTAATCAAATATCCCATTCCCATTTGTGGTTATTTCCAAAGGAGTTGCTATCTGTAAGTGTTTCGAGGCGTTCGCAGTTTGCAGATTTGATATAGTCTTCACGCGGGTACATGTAGCAGGTTTTCGAATCGGTAATGGATTGGAGTGGTGCTCAGACGGCAACAACTAATTTACCTAATTGAGGAATGATGAGTAATGACGATGAAGAGGGATGAATCATTGCCATTTTGAAATGAAAACCCTGTACCGCGCCACACGCGGAGCGCTCGCTGCAACGGCGATCGCATAGAACCGCCGCCCGACCGACGGGTGCAAACACAATGCCGTCGCCGCTCGCCGCCCTCAGCACGACACACATACTTGTCGCGTGCATACATTTTCCTCCTCTTGGCAGCCCGTTCGCTCGGAGAGGCTTTCAGCCCGCAACACATCACATCACACTATCATCTCACTCATTTTCATTAGTCCAAAATCAACGATATACTCCTATTATCTCTTATTTCGCGAATGTGCGCTGACGCCATTATAGTCGGCGTGCGCTGGTTTCTGTTTTCTGAATGTCAATTTTTACTTTTAATGTGCGGAACGAATGAGGATAATTTTGAGCTATATATTTTTTTATATTCAAAATTTTAAAACGCCTAAATAGCATAATATGTATAATGCTGAGTTTTTAAACTGCGCAATTAAAAACCAAAAGAATGCGCACATAAAAACAAAGAAATAAAAAATTAATTAAAAGTAACTTAATTAGACGAGTTAATTAAATTTTTTGCCTGTGACGACATCGAAGTAGTATTTCTTTTAATGGTGATTGTTGCATAAAACAAATGAGAAAATCAAATATGTGTTCAAACTAGAATCTAATTATATTTTTACCTTTTTGCAAATTATTGACGGAAAAATATCTGGAAAGTGAACTTTACCCGTGCAATGCAGAACACACGTTGCATTATTACTTTTTCCTTTTTGTCCGCTTTTTTTTATCATGGTTTGTGACTATATGAGACCATACAAAACGCAGTAGGCAATATTGTATCATTCAAGCCATTAATTCAATACATTATTACATTTTTCCTTCTATTTACGGTGCATTTTGCCACATTCAAAATGGTCCACCATTGAAAATAACGTCGCGCATCAAAACACTCTTCGCATTGTCAGCACATGTATGTGTCCTACCTGGGACAGCCGTGGGCGTCAAAAAGAGTGTAACCGTAAAGCATAGTTCCCTCTGAAACGTAATTAATGCTCGAAAGCTTTATGAATATGACACCGAAATGGAATAAAGAAAAATGTTCGCTCGTAATTTTAATTTTTTCACACCGAAAATTAACGCTTATTATCTTATTTTGCATCAAAATCACAATCATTTTGAATATGTCCATTTTTTCAAAATATTTACTCAAAATAATTAAATTCTAGGCATTCATTTTAATTTTAACTGACAATCAGGAGTAGCAATGGCATTGTACTTTTGGGTACGCTTGTTTTTATCACGAGGGAGGAAAATGAGTGGACACTGGCGACCCCGACGACGCAAGACTTTTGTCCCCTCGTTCGCATACGCAAATGGACGCAAAATTTTGTGTAATTATTAATCATAATTTACAATTACGATGCTGGTCGTACGCCACCGGTGTTGCGACCTATTAATGTCGTTTAGGTGTTTAGTATCGCTGCAGTAACGACACGCCACCTTTCGTCGTAGTGCAAGCGAGATAAAATAAAAAATTATATGTATTATATTATGGGCGACCGAAAAATTAATGAAAACGTGCCCTGATGCACGCTTAAAAAAGCGTATAATGGGCGCGCATTAATTTTATTTTATGTTATGACGATGCTAGGACATCGAGAATATGAATTTTAATTTTAATTAAGCTCATGATATATGGGCACAGGCAACGGGTAATTAAAAAGAATAATAAAGTGATGAAACGCGAATGGGAGACGGAAATATGTTTTCGAATGTTTTTGCGACCTTATTTTTTGTTTACATAAAATGTGACCACAATGACTGCGCCGAGTTGAACGTATTGAAGAGTGGGTGGTTTTTCGATTTGAGTGCAACCCACAATGAAGTGGTATTAAATTAAATCTAAGCAATATGTAATTTAAAGTGGAGAAGTGACATTTACTTAAACATGAGAAGATCCAATATTAGAAATCATCAACTTTAGTTGATTGTTACCCCTGCGTTTTAATGTTCAACATTAAATTAAAACTCAATCATCTTCACACCTCTGCATATTGTTTTATTAGCTTTAAAACTTAAATCTACGATATGACTTAGTGACTTGCACGTGCAAAATAGAATTCTCTATTTTCTTAAGCGCTTGTAATTCCCTGCCACGAGCATTGACACATACTGTGCTAACAAATTTGCAAGAACCATTGTCGAGGCTGGACGGAATTGCCATCATTGCCATTATTAAGACTATTGGTGAAGCTCAACGCGTGGTGTGCTAAGGCTAACAAGTCATAATCGAATCGAAAACGCGGTTGAACGCCGCAGCGAACCCGATTAACGACATGTACAACGTCTCCGGTAACACGAGGCCCTATAGCATCTGCTACGCCCGTCTATTCAATCTATTCTCTCAACGCTCGAATGTCAATGCTCAATGTGTTCAATGCACTTACAATTACAACAATCAAATAACGTTGTGTCGTGTTTAATGGACAAATTCGTTCAAAAGTGTTGATGTTCTTGTTAATACAAGAATTGTCCACACCTTAATATGGATTGAGTTAAAATATTACAATCATAATTCAAATTGGCAATTAATTTTGTTTTTTTTTAAATATTTTTAACCACTAAAACAGAATCATGTCTGGAGTATTATTACCTGTCTTAAAACTTGTTATAAAATATATTTAAAATATCATATTTAATTGTATATGATGAATTGTGATAAGTATGCATAGCTGGAAGTTTGCAATTACTTTAGTTATATTAGACAAGAGAAGACCAGTTGTATTTTCCGCAGTAGAGTGATAATGTATTGCAGGTAGAGTTGGTTGGCTGATTAACGGCCATTGCCATGTTGGCATCATGAAACATTCTTCGAGGTGATAAATCAGTGATCTTTGTCGATTTGTTGACAACATTGATATGCCAATTATAGAACACAAAATTGCTTTTACGTGTAGTAACATTTTCTATAGAAATTTCAACATATGTCTGATATGACAGAAATATGCATAGATATATTTAGAAAATTTACTTATATTTTAAAATATTAAATACGTATAATGCAAGGTAACATGACTTAACGCAATTCAACAAGCTTTGGTGGGACATATTATGGTTTTGTTATTTATTTTTACACAATTCAATTCCCTCACAATAAAAACTGGCCAACCCATTCCACTAACATGCGTTGCAAATGCGCTAGAAAAAATTAATTAAAAACGAAGGAAAGAACGCTAATTTGTCTTGCCGGTCATCACTGTCAGAGGCTGTTGGCTGTGATGCGATCAAAAAAGTTGTTTTTGTCACTCGAACAAACCGACACACGCGAATATTTATAATGGCGGGCCTCTTTGCGCAGTTTAAATTTAAAGAGTAATAAATCCTTCACGTCACTCGAATGACGTCTGTCCTGCTGTCCGGTTTTCGGCGCTAACAATGACGTTCGTCCACCAATGGGTGCGCTGACGCTAAGTACGTTGCATGTGTACACTTCGTTTTCGGTCATAATCATACCACTGGCATTGTTCTCACTTTCGCATTCTGGAACATGCGCAAGCGGTTGAATGCGGCTGATCGCCGCTGAGCGCTTGAACGCTCTTTGATTAATGATTATGTCTAAACGACCGACATACCCCACAAAAAGCGCCGTTATTATTATTATTAAATATGCAATGATTCAGGACGTATCCGTGACATTCCTGCAACATCAATCGTGAAATTCTAAACGAGCAAATATTTTTCAGTAGTAATTATCAAAGTAATTGAATTTGAAGTTTTAAAATAACTGATAAAATTGGTACCTACGAGTAATTTATTTTAAAATTAATAATTTCAATTTCTAAATACGAATTACATAAATAATATTGTAATACATATATTATTTATTATTTTTGTTGATATATACTGTGTTAACCATAAAGGTACTATATTGAAGTGTGTTGGAAATATACAGACTGTAGACGAGAAATTTACTGATCAATCAATAGTTTATTACACTTTAAACTCAAATTATCCTCCATTAAAGCTTTTCCGTTCTCGTTTTGTTCGATAACTTACAGTACACAACGCTTTATTTTACTTACTTAGTGTAAATTTTTAATGTTTGTTCTACAAGTCAAAAGTCGCAGTGAGAAATTATACTTTGACACAATTGTAATGTCTGCATAATTTATTCGGTTGAAAATTCAATACTATTAGGTAGGTATATATTTGATACCACAATATATTCAGAAACACAAATTACGACAGCATAATATTTCTAAATATAGCGGAACAATAAACAATGCATTTATTATGTTCGATTAGCCAATATTTAATTAAGCCCTAAATAGACGCGTGTATTATTTGTTAGAATGGCAAAAAGCTCTGTCTGCACGAACGTGTACGTATACCTACAATAATTTGATATTCTTGCTTTAATAATAGGCGCACAACGAGTGTGTTTATGGGTGGATGTGTAAAAGTGAATATTTGTTGCCGGTTTATTCGTCGAGATCGCGTGTAAACTGATATTAATTGGCCTTACTGTTTATTTTGTGTATCGCGTTCATTAATTATTTACAACGCTCGTATTTGAAATGTCGCTGGGGTAGTCTCAAACTCATGAAATATTAACACGAAAATTATGCTCGCGTATATTTTTTTATCATAAATAATTTCAATGTGCTTTATAACCATACATTTGGTTCGGAAAGAAAAATACATTGAATTTAAGAAATATATGCGCATTCAAACCAAATTTTTAAATTTTACAACAATGGTCAAATATATCTGGTTATAATTACAGATAGTTCGTTTAAATATCTTTAGAAAAAACATTTATGCATAGTAAATACTTGTAAATATCTCAATTAAATTGCGTTAAAATATGTTCTGCGCATACCAATATGATCTTCAATATAAATAATATATTCTTTTTCTCATTTGAAGAAAGATTAAAAGCATATTTTCTAATAAACATAAAGACCGTTGCTAAAATTCCTTAAAAGTTTCTAAAATATATCCTTTATGAAACTTTAAGCAGAGCACTAATGGAACCTGGTTATGTTTACTTATTAAGATCTTTTTACAAGAAATAAACGGCCAAGTACATGCTTTTATTTTTGCTGTGCTTAAAATCAATCATAAAAAAGTGTCGTATAAATAAGCTAATCGTAAAGTTATCTTGCGGCCAATAAAATATATAAAATTCGACAATCGATGCTGTAATACAATAAAATAAGTTAAATATATTTACGGAGAGTAAGAAACAAATATACCTAACTAATACAGGATTGAATAACATGGATTGAATAATTTAATAACCTAATGCATGCGTTTAACAATGTGTACATTATGTTAAATGCGATGGATGCATGACATGAAGCAAATTTAGTTGTACACCGCTATAATTCAAAAACCTTCATATGAAATGGTCATTCATGTGATATTGTACCTGTATATTTGCACAACGTGAATATTGTAAACGGTGGTTGACCGCAACGTTACTACAATGATTATATAGTTTTAATGCCTAAACTCATCCTCCGCGATTAATTCAATTAAACTTATGAATTATTCGACTAATATCATTCGGCTGTTTAATGTGTGTGTACATCTGCACCAGGACAAGCGTGAGCTTTTTGATTACACATTCGAATGCTTGCGTAATTAGAGATTTGAGTGCTTTCAAATATAGGGACATATACGGCTTCCGTATAGTATATTAAACTAATATTGATTTGTTAACACATTTCCCCTACAATTATTTATGTAACCAATACAGGTGAAAAACTTTTACTTTTTGGTAATTTAGATTATATTATTTTTTGTTTAATGTGAAAACGTTTCAAAGAAGTAAGCATGGGAAGTCCATTTCATGATATAGCAAAGACAATAAATAATTCAGGCACTTAGTTTCTGCAACAATTACAATAGATAAATAATAAAATTGTGTTCGGTCTTTTGTTGCCCCTCGTGCGTACTTGAGCCAAGTGTACCTCCATACGAATGAATGCCCGGTCAGTCCGGCTGATGCATATTTTATTTATATATATTTTATATGTGCTTCTTTGCCTGCGTGTGGTTGGGCGAGTATCTTCCGTTCGGTCCGACTGTTAACGTTCCGCTTTTCTTTTTTTCCGCTCTTATGTTGGTGAGTGTTCGTGAGTGTTTCTTTTTCGCTGTGTGGCCGTTTTTCGGTGTAGCGATGGTGCTCGCGTGCCACTCCGTCGCGTAGGTATATGTGGTCTGTGTATGCATGTCAGAGCCGTTTATATCTAAAGAGTGAAAATTTCATAAGGGGTAATTTTCCCCACGACGGAGTGCGGTGCGGGGCAATAGCGTGGAACCATCGCTCCTGCTAGTGGGCATGCGAGCACGCTCGTCGTGGCCGGCATGGTCCCAGTGCGGACATGTTAATAATGCACGCGACACCCCACCCCACATGTACGAGTATACTGTTTGTTCCAAAAAAAACTTCAAGTTGACACCATGATGGAGAAAATCATTTCTATATGTCTGACATTTCAATCTTTCTGAATAAAAACATCTTTTATTTGAAACGTTTTATCTGAATGCTTACAAAGTGCCTACAAACATAGTTACATCAACATTATTTAAACTTATTTAAAACGCTGATTCACTTTCTTAATACAAATTGTGTGAGATCTTAGGGTTAAAATATAAAATATAAGGATTAAGATAGGTATAGGTATAATAAGTGTATACCTATGAATATATTTAAAATAAGTAAAAGTTAGTTTAATTTTAAATATGGTTTTTAACAAGTTTTTGGTAAATTTTAAATCAAAAGGTATATTAAATTAAATAGACACGCTAAAATTTGGCTAAAAATATAGTGGTATTTTATAGTTATAAATGGATTTTTATATTGAGGGAATTTTTAGTCTATTTGCACTCAGTTTATTAACGAATCGACAATTGTTTTACCAGTGAAGGCAGCGTCAGGACTGTCGATAATATGGTGACTTCATTGCGTGTAATATCGAAAGAATCAGAAAGTGACGCAATACGAAAACAAAAACATCTTGCATTCAAAAACTTCTTGAAGAAAAGTCATCGATTTTATAACTTACATACCGCATAAATATTCATGTATTCCTCAACATATTAAGATTTATGACTTCAAAAGCATATATTTTTAATTTTTTGTAAAATAGTAAAGATTTTCTGCCTCTAATTAAAAATATTTTAAAATGGCACGTATACAAAGTTGAGAAAACGACGGAACAATGTCATTCAGCAAAAATCTTAATTAAAAGAAAGTTTAATAGGTATAATTCGTCCGCCACTTTATCATTTTTTTTCTTTCCTTCGCCCAGCGACTCCTAGCCGTAGCCTAGCGCGCGCTCCTCGCGATTGCCAGGCTCGTCCTTATGCCGACTCTAATTACATAAACGGACGGAACAATTTCATTTGTAGTATATCTTTCTTATTTAGCGTTTCAATTTAATTAACGGAGTAATTTCTTATTTCTCTCCCCGTTAATTAAATCGAGGCGGGTGCAATTTATTTTCCCCACTATGTCGCCACGGCGTGCGTCGCTCGTTTTCGTATTTCAGCGCTTCAATTTCTGTACAAACTTCAATAAACACCGCATTTAATAGTTTGCATCAAATAATTTGCCTGTAATAGCTTTATTCTTCCAAGGTGAACACTATTATAAAAACTACTGCAATTTTAGTGGTAGAGTGAGAGCAGAAACATTTGACAAACAAGGTTTGAAAAAAATTATTAACGCAGTGTATTTTTGTTACATTTTAGATAGTCATCTCCATCTGTTGGGGAAACCAAACAAGTTTCACTACTTGCAGAGTCTAGATTTGTCCGAAAACGACATCTATGAATTGGACGAGTTACTGCAAACTCTTGCCGAACTTAAACAACTTATGTGTCTTCAGTTGCAGGGAAACCCTTGCTCGGTTTGTAATTCCGATTTAATCAATATGTTAGTAGTATTCTGTGTATAGTAGCAAACTGTATTTTTGTAGGTTACCAGTAGTTACAAGGACGAAATATTGAGGCGCATTCCATGGTTGGTTCAATTGGATTTGACCGAAATCCTGGATAAAGACCGAATTGTGCCCGATGAGAAAAAACTACCAATAGATGCAGGAATTACATTTACCTGTCATAGAATTATGAACTGTCCGAAACCAACTAAAGAAGTACGCTATTATTATTGATTGAATAACAATCCAAATAAACAAAATAATTTTTAGAAAAGCGTCGAGAAATGGTTTTATTTTTCGGTAGAAATGCCATTGTTAGAAGACGTAATTGAAGTAAAAAATAAAAATGGTGATATTGAGGTTGTAAAAAGCGTGGAAACCCAACTTTCAAAAAAAGTAAAAGAGAAGAGAGCGGACTCATCGATGACAGGGAAGAGAACAATTGCAACTAAAACGAAGAGCGGCGTCACGAGCAAAAAGGGCATACCGTCGAGTAGTCCTTATAATAGACAGGACGAGTACGCCGACGAGTGCAAACGGCACGTGGTAGACACTACGTTCAAGACGGCTCGGTTTGCATGGGATAAGATAATGCAATTGCCCGAAGAGGCGCTCGTAATCAAATCAGCCGAACGGAATTTCGTTGATATCAGGGACACGATGCGGAGTATCGTATGCGTGAAGTTGATTTACTTAGAGGTGAAATATGCTCAATCTCATTGCGTGGGTGTTTTAAATTCGCCACAATTGAACGCAAATTAGTTTACTATAGTAAAACCTTTCAAAATCTTCAACAATTTATATCTTTTAGGTTCGTCCAGCTGAAAAACCAAAGAAACCGAACAAAAACAAAAATAAATCTCCGGTAAAACGGACATCAACGTCAACTGAAATTATTCAAGAACCTAAAGAAACAATTATTAAAAAAATAACGTTGGCACAATTTGATTGTGAACTGCATAGTATCAATTGGAGTGATAAAACTATAGATTACATTTGGGCTGACCAAGAACAGTTTGAAAATAAAGCACAATTTGTTGAAGGAAGCCTAAGAGTAAATTTAATTAAATAGGATTTAAAAACTTACAAATAAATAACCGCTTATTTTAGTTAATAAATTATTCGGAGAACCCGCAAAAAGAAAGCAAAAGGAAAATAGAAAACGAAACTGCACCAGATGCATCATCACCGACAACATTACTGCAGCAACAAGTGAAACAACCAGTTCCGAAAGTATTTACTATTCAAGTTGGTTTTGGTCTGCAACGAAATTATTATCAATCTTGACACATTTATTCAACTCGCACAGAAGACGTAAATTATTACTCATACAAAATGTAAATTGTGAGTGTATGTAGAAAACATGTATCGAAGGAAACAAAGATTCTATTGAACAAGTTTGATTAGTCCTCAATATCTAATTACAATAGTAAATTTACAAACAAGTCTGTCCTGTTGTCAGTATTCATATTAAAGTAATTTTAAATCATTAGCAACGTAATAAAAAATTAAAATAAAATTTTCGCAAAAAAAAGTTGCGTGTACACTTGTAAAATAAATACATTCTCATCCAAGTTTAAAACCGTTAGTACAATATCTTTCCAGTAAATAAGTACAAACAAACACATGTACAATACTCGTACATATAGTAATCTTAACAGCAATCATCTTGTTAGCAACTTATAAATCAAACCAGAGACTGCTTAATATTGTTATTGTCGGTTATTATGCGCTGGCGTGAAGATGGAATTGCCTCAAATACATTTCGAGACGGACAGGACGCGCGGACACTGGTCCAACAAGCGTGAATATTTGTTATCGTGTATTGGTGCCGCCATTGGCCTCGGAAATGTGTGGCGTTTTCCTTATTTGTGCTACAAGAACGGTGGAGGTAATTTTTCACAATTTAATCGCATTATCAACGCAATCATCTTAAATTACATCATTAAAATCTTACTATACATATATATTTAGATATAGATATTTAATGAAGTATAAACTAAGCTGGGCTTAGCTTAAGGGAATGTGCGTTGAACTTTGTTGTACGTAGTGTAACGCAACCACACAGCTTGTGTAGTTGGCAGCGTGTCGTGTTAATATTTGTAGCGTAGACGTACGCATGTAACGTAAGTGCCGGTCGGGGTCGTGGCGGGCCTTAAATCTTAAAGAATAGCCGACGAAAAAGAACGTGTAGGGAGAAAATGCGTTGGCAGTGTGTTAATCGAAATGACGCACGCCAAATCTTTACAACTCCCAAGAAATGTGTTGTGCTTTGAACGTAAAATAAGTGGCGTGTAAAATGATAAGGGTACTATGAGCTTATTAAATATACAACGTCCTATGGCATCCATTTTACCTGAATATCAAAAATTTTTGTTTTTAGGTGCATTTTTGTTACCCTACTTATTGATGTTATTTTTATGTGGAATTCCACTTTTCTATTTGGAATCTTGTTTGGGACAATTTTCCAGTGCATCTTGCTTAACTGTTTTTAAAATTGCTCCACTTTTTAAAGGTAAGTTGTAAAATTTTTAATGTACGAGTATAGTATTAATAGTAGATGTAAACCATAATGGCACGATTTTATCTTCGATTATTTTCAGGAGTGGGTTATGCAATTTTGGTGGTAAATTTCATCTCAACATGTTATTACGTCGTGATAGTATCGTATCCTTTGTCTTACATCTACGAAAGCATCGCCCACGCACTGCCGTGGACAAAATGCGGCAACGCTTGGAATACTAATGAATGTTTGCAAGTAATAATTAATGTTTATTTTTTGCGACACCAGCACTACTTGTCCATTTTGCATTCAAATCATACCCGTGTGCTTGACACACGCACTAATTAGCTCATTTGTAATTGCTTGAGTCTAATTGAAAAAAAAGTATGTCAAGTACAAACGATTCTTCTCTTTTCAGTTGGACACCGCCAACTACACGTCTAACCATGTTTCAACTCTTGCGCACCGAACACCAGCAGATGAGTTTTTTCAGTGAGAATATTTTCGGAAATTGTTATTGCAATATTATTATTTATATATTTTCAGTAATAAAATTCTCCACCTTTCAAATAGTATTGATAATACCGGTGAGATAATATGGCCGCTGTTTATTTTCAATTGCATCACATGGTTTATCATCTTTCTGTGCATTATGAAAGGCGTTAAAGGGGTGGGCAAAGTGGTGTACGTCACTGTGACTTTCCCAATATTGATATTGGTGGTCATGTTTGTACGTGGGATTACACTACCAGGGGCGGTCGATGGTATATATTTCTATATTTATCCCGAATGGAATAAAATTACAGATTATCAAGTAAGAAGAAACATGAGTTTCAACATTTTATAATTTATAAACAAATTAAATACTGTTTAATCTCTTTGCAAAGAAGTTCAGGGAACAGATCATTTTACAACGTTATTGAGAGGTTTTGTTATAAGTGGTGAATTGTGATATGATTATTTTGAAAGAAGCATTTTATGCACGCAAATTGTGTAATATTGATTTTTAAAACGTTAAACTTTCTTTCTTTCTTACGTTTTAGAAAATGACTGCTACGTTATAAAAAAAGTTATATTATTTAATGCTTATTTATTGTTTTAGGTTTGGTTAGATGCTGCGGTACAGATATTTTTCTCGGTCGGTTGTGGTTGGGGAAGTATCATAAACATGGCCAGTTACAACCATTTCAGCAATAATAATAAAAAGTAATTTTCTACGCTCTACATTAATGATTTAACTAATTTATTTTAAGTGTCGAAGACACTCTTTTACCCTTCAGAATTCTGACATTTGTAATTGTTATTGTTTAATTAATTTGTGTGTTTTTAGTGATGCAATTTTAGTGCCTTTGTGCAATGGCATAACAAGCGTTTTTTCCGGCTTTGTGGTGTTTTCGGTACTGGGCTTTATGAGCCAGAAAACTGGCCTTCCGATTGCGGATGTGGCCACAGGTGGGCCCGGTCTTGCGTTCGTCACCTACCCAGAAGCCATCGCTTTGTTGCCGTACTCACAATTTTGGTCTGTCTTGTTTTTTCTGATGCTGTTTCTGATTGGACTTGATAGCTGTGTACGTTTATATTACTAAAATGTAAGCATAATTAGACAAATCATTAAACACAAATTTTGTTTTGTTTTAGTTTGTACCTTTGGAGTCCATGATCTCAACGATGTTAGATGAATATGTGAAGCTGCGAAAGTACAAAATGATAATTAGTTTTATAGTCTGCTGCGGGATGTGTTGCTGTTCTACAATATTTATCACCGAAGTGAGTTGTTTATTACGTAGGCTGTATGTTGGTGTTTAATTGCCTGTTTAATTACAGAGCGGCATGTATTACATTCGATTATTAGATTTCTACGCACCGTCATTAGCACTGGTGACAATTAGTCTCTGCGAGCTGTTCATTGTCGGTTGGACTTACGGAATGAAAAATTTTGCCAGGGACGTCGAGTTTATGAACCGCGCTAAATTGCACTGCTGGTGGCCGTTCTGCTGGCGATTCATCGCGCCCATAATACTAACGGTAAACACATGATGGACCTCCACGCTATTGTCGTCTTCCTTGCCACCCCAATAAACATTACACAAAAGCACAAAGCATGAAACATTATACGCCATAAAAAATCCTCGCCGCGCTTTATTGCAACGTCGCTCTGCAAAAATCTAATTGAATTTTTAAAATTTTGCTTGAGCTCTATCGTGGGTGAAGCAATTTGCTCGCATTTGCTAGAAAAAACATGTGGGAGGCTTTATAACTTTTAGAGTTTTTATTTCAGATTATCATCTTTACGACAATAACCTACGGTAAAATTGATCCGTACAACGGGGTGAATTATCCCGAATGGTCAAAATCATTGGGATGGACAACAGCAACGTTACCGGTATTTTGTATACCTTTTTACATGGGTTACAAATTACTGTACAAAAGTGAAGGCGATTTGTGTGAGGTAAGACAAATAACGCGCTGAAAATCTTTAGCCGCACAAAAACAAAATTAGCGTTAAATGGTCGATTTATAACTGCGGCTGTGACCGTGGTTTTAGCGCTATAATTGAATTCCGTATAAAAAATATAAAGCAAAACGTAATTTGCAGAGGCTTTCATTGGCGGTCCGAGCTGGCAAAAAATGGGGTCCTAAACAAGCTTGCAGTCGAGAGGAATGGTTGTACATGGTTTACAGAAAACGTGTAATTAGTGAGTTGTTTTTCTTTGTCTTCGCTATGTTTTTTTTTCTCTTGTAGAGAAATTGTGACTTCATAACTCAAATGGCAAGATAATTTACCTGTTAATTTTAATTACTTGCACAGGGCGATGTTAATTGGCTCGCCTTAATTAATGAAAAATTGTTTACTGTTGTACCTATACATTTAATTATTTACATTTTGCAGAGATGCGCCACGTGTTAGAGGAGACGAAACACGATGCCGCTCATAAAAAATTTCTACTATTATCATCAAATGATACAAATTCGAATACTACACATCTTTAAACTCCAAAAAGGTACACAGCATATATACAGATTATTTTTTGTTTCATTGTTGAGTATAAATACACATCTGTTAATAAATTTGTCATTATTATTTTGTATGTCAGAAAATTGTCATTCATGTAGTAGCTAAAATATAAAAATTTATAGCAAAATATTTACACAATCACTGCAAAATTCATGTAGATATTTAAATGAATTGTAAATAGCAGACATTTTTGTATTGTGTATAAATTAAGCGTGTGCTAAATTCAAAATTCCACTATGGAGGAGGCAGAAGATCGGCGAGTGCGAATTACAAATACTATTGAAGATCATGTACCCTCAAAATCAATACATATGAAACGAAAGAAGCGACTAAGCAAAGTGGGACAAGCCCGACCGATTACAGATGTTTGTCGGAAAACTGTAGGGGCGCCTCCGCCCAATGTTCCTACGAAGAAAACGCTCACTTGGTGGGAGCGACCACCTATAAAATATGCGTAAGCTACAAATTATGATACTCTCATATATATCAAGTTACAAATTGAAGGTAGAATGGGTTAGATATTGCAATTTGTCAAAAACATGTTTTAACGTTAACCTTTTTGAGTTTAATTTTATTCGTAAATGGTTACATTTGCTATTATCATATTTTCGTACATAAATAAAGAAATTTAAGTTTTTCATACTGCGTGCTTCTTAGCACCAGTACTAGCCAAAATCATTTACTATTGAAATATTAATAATATTTTAGGCCTGCGTGTTTCAACTGCCGCAGATGTACAAACGGTTGTAGTATAGCTGCTTTGCAAAAGTACTTTTCACTGTATTCAAATTTCAAAAATTAAAAAAAAAATTAAATGTTGCAAAATACCTGATTAAGTTATTTGTAAGTTATTTGTATTTGTAATTTTTTGTATTTGATATGCATTTTAAAAAGAATTGTAACTGATAATTATTCCATACTAGAATCAATAAAACTGGAAATTCTGCAAAAATTTTAAATGCACCGTATATAGATTAGACATTTGAATGGAATTTGAATTATTTATCGTGGCATTGCGGTAAATATCACTGATAAAATAGTTTACAAATTTCAAGGTGTATGTCAAGTTCAAACTCTAGGAACGTATTCTACACACTTACAATTTTCGGTTTTGTATACAACAAGGTACTAAATGTTTGCTCAATTCGTTGCACTAAATATAGACAAGCAAATTCATTCGAAATACAAATATGTAAACATACTAAATTATACCATACATGTGTCCCATATGTACATATTGAGTTCTAGTTATTCCACTCTTGCAGTTCACTGCAGTCGTATTTCTCAACGTCTCTGTAAAGCGTAGTTGCTTAACTCCGAATAAATTGCGTGTACATCTCCTGACGCGAAAACGTAAACAATCAAGCAACTGTTTTCTCCTTAAATGAGATTTTCCTTCGCTTTCGTGCAAGTCAAAAGTGCATCAAACGATTTTGTTGTACCGTCGCTAAATGGAAACGCCATTTAAGCACCCACGTACTCGGAATTAAAAATTTGCACGCCCTTGCATTATGCGAACTGCTTTTAATTAACTTGAACTGTTCTAATTAACGTTATTTGATTGGCCGTCATCCATCAGTGCATTTCTAATTAAAGCGCACATCGCCTCATCGGTACATTCGGGAATATCGGTGGCGCAAATAAAGGTTAAAAGTTGAAGTATCATGAAGCAAGAAGAACGTAATTAAATGTTCAAGTGTTTATAAAAGAGGTTTACTAGTTGCAATCAGTTCAGTGTAGTGTAAGCAACCTTTGAGTAAAGTGTAATTAACTACAAAAGCACAAAATTTCACATAATAAAAAATATCAGCCACGTTTACAATGAGTACAATTACCAAAAGCAGCAAAAGTAGTTTTTGGGAGACTATAGAGCTTTTAATCTCTGTGGAAGGTCGAAAATCAGAAAAAGACAAACGTGATGAAGCGGATGACTGGGCTGCAGGATTAATGCGAACTCAAAGTATGCCATCCAAAGAAGTCACTAAACCAGCTTTGGAGCATATTTTGAAAAGTTCCATGAGGCGTGACAGTTCCGTGTCAGACTATTCAGAACGAATGCATGAAGACGAAGTAAAAAAGTTTTTATCAACTTTAGATTTTTCTAAACCTGAATGCAAGTAAGTGAAAATATTTGCATGTGAAGAAACACTCCACATTCAGTTTATTTTTATTCTAGATTTGAACTTTCTATAGAAAAAATCCTTGGTTTTTAGTTAATCGCACCTTTGATTGTTTCGATAGCATGATAATGATATCAATGCCTACCCTTGTCAGTGCAGTATAAACACTTTTGGCCCTGTATTTCAAGGGAGAACGGGGATGACGTACACGACGTTGACTCGACCTCGACATCAACATGTTGGTACACCCCGCTTTCCTTGCGCTTCATTTCATCCACTATGTTTGCGCATCCGGTTAGAAGCTTTCATTCATATTTCGCCGAACCTGCTCTGTTTGGTTAATCCACAGGGCGCATTCAGATTCCTATGCGTTGGGGCGCTTAGTACCGCACGATGTGCTGTTCCAAGAAAGCTGACATGCCCACATTGGGGGTGTGAAATGTATGGGCGTTTGTTAAGCTTTAAATTCACGGAATCACCGCATGTATATTATTATTAAACGTTGAGGTGTAAAACAGTACATAAACATAATTCTAACGATTTACTGACAAGAACAAAAATGTGTAAATTAACTTTGACCTCAACAACATTTTCATGACAAACGCGTAGTATAAAGAAACATAACCAAATATATAATAAAGCAAAAATTAAAATGTCCATCACTCTGGATTTACTCTATACAACTAAAATAGAATTTCTTTACACTTGTGCCAATTTGATCGTTGTGTACGCGTTGTAAAAACGCGTTGGCGTACTACAAATTGCTCGCAATTTATTATTAATACATCAGCATCAACCTATCAACCATTTGGCAAACAAACGCGCATACTCGATAAGCATACTCTGCGAATGATTGTGCTTGCTTGTGGACGTTTCACTAAAACCTGAAAACATGATCGACGGACAAAATGAAAAAGCAAATACAAAGCGCGTCAACCGATCCGGGAGTTTTGCGCACGTATATGACGCAAATTGTCGAAAAGTTCTTGGTGGCGATTGTCGGTTACCAGAGTTGCCGAGTGCAGATGTGAGAGAGTATAAGCGACAAAATCGGTTCAATTATTGTATTGACGTTTGCCTCGGCTGGTTAGATCCACAATGCTCCCCTGATGACGGATGAGTTGTCGCATCAATCGACGCGCGAATTACGCGCACGATTGCAATAATCGACGACAGAAAAAAATCCAATTTGACGACGAGCGTGTGTGTAATTTGGAAAATTTCCAACTTCTCACCCAAGTAGGTGGGTATTCCAGCCACCCCTCAAGAGCGCATATACACACATCCATAATTGTCGATTTAATAAACAAATTTTGATTTTATAACAAATGTTTTGAAATTTAAAAATTTATACTACAATAATAAATATTTTGTTTTTATTCCAATAATTAAGCTGCTGGAATATAAATAGGTTTCTTTTTTAAGAAATTGTAGGTTGACATTCAACTGAAAACTGATTTATTGATTGGATTACAATCAGATTGCGATTTATTGATCATGCAAATGACATGAATTCTATTCATAAAACTAAAAATATCCAATTTTGTAGAAATAGAAATTTCAAACAGATTAACGAGAGAAATATTAAAATATTTTCGAAATAAACAATAAATATTAAATATTTTGATGAGAAAATAAAAATATTTTTCTTCTGTTTTAGAATTGATACGCTCATTGAACGCAAACTTATTCGAGCCTAAACAGTTGACTTAACTTATTGGATCTTATTAAACGAACATTACACTTGAGTTATTTTACCAGCCGACCTAGTCGTGCATTTGTTTTGGTACAAACAGTGAAAGAAATCGATGATTTCCCACGAGCATTAAATGCAGAAAGTACAGACTCTTTTTTTTAATAAAATTTTCATTTTATAAAACATACTATAAAACGTTGATAAAGCAAAATTTAAATATTAAAACACTTACGAGTATACCTAGAAATATTTTGAATAAATAAATTATTTTTAGAGACGTGTACCATGTCTTCATTTAAATCTTAATTTAAAACTGATCCATAATTAATTTATAATAATTCATTAGTTCAATTTCATTGAATTTAAATTAAATGTTTAACCCTTTCAAAGATTTACCACCCGCGATATTATTTTACGTAATGTATATTCAGGGGATTTAGATTCAAAGCTTTGTTTATTAAGCAAAATGCAAACCCAAACGCGTGTAACAACTACAATGCGGATTATACCTGTGAGTGAGAATATAAATTACTTTAAGTACATTATCCATTTCGCTTCAAAGTCTCCTTACTCATTCTGTCTGCAGGGCCTGCGGTTGTTTTCGCAACAAATTTCCGCACTCTGTGGGGTGGTGTAATATACTTGGCATTTATTCCTCAATTTCGTGCATATATTAAAGAATAATGTCATAACTAGACAAATTTCGACGCGTTACACCGGGTGTAAACAAAATCAAACAAATCTACAATCTATATAAGTTGTTTTTTTTAACTCTGTTTAATCTCGATGCAATATTTTGAACCCCCGTGAAAATCATGCCGTGCACTAATATAATTTATTACTTTCCATTCCGACATCAACTACTTTAGTGTAGGGGTGTATGCGTTTCTCAAGAATATAATATCGTGAAATCAAGCCAGTTTGGCGTGCGGTTTCCACCGCTTCGGTTTACTCGTTTGCAAGAAAGTCGATAGCTAAGGCATTGTATTAATCGCGTAAAAGCACAAAACATTTATCGTGGGTAGTTGAACTTGACGAGCGTGCTAGACACGAGGACACACACTATGATTTGAAATAAATTCCAAGTCAGTTTACACCGCGTGAGACAATTAAATACTTAGTTTATTACTTTAATTTCTTGTTTTATTTTCTTGTTTATAAATAGTTTTTATTACAGTATACAATATAAACTACAACAATTAAATTTATGGAAACACTATGTATTATTAAATCGGTTTTTCTTTGACGAATTATAACGGCGTGGATGCATGTTTTAAGTTCACGTGTTTGTGCGATGAAAACGACTAGTCTGCCTGAAAGCGTCAATTGAATTTGTTGGGAAATTTAAACCTGTGTGAAAGAAACGTTTTTCTGTAATAATTCCTTTGTAAAATTTTATGTTACACTGTTCACAATTTATAATATTAGTAAGTTTAAATTTTCGTATAAAAAACCATTTATTTTAACTTCTTGGTTTTATTATTAATAGATTCAGCATGTTGCCTGTACGAAATAAACTGGAAATGCTCATGGGATCTAATCTGGTCTGTCTTACCGACCGCGATTATATGGTTTATCTTCAAATCCGTATGTTGGATGATTATGAAAAAGCCATCAACAAGCGAATAGCTCTCCGCCAGGTTAATTCTATAATTCCATTATCCGTTATTAATTATCACATGTTACTTACACAGTTTATATTTATATTGTTTTAGGTGGAGGAAATGGAACGTGTGAAAAATCTAGTCCTAAACGGTAAAATACCCTTGGATGAAGCTCCGATTGAAATGGCCAATCATCCTGTGATGTTGATCGATCAGTATTGCAAGAAGGTGCTCGCTGAACGTCGCGCAAAGATGAAGGTCCTACGACCTTTCATACCAAAATATTTGTATTGGGACGACACGCCAGATCCGCCTTCAGGATTATCCATCGAAAGCGGCCATCGCCTACGTCCGAACAATGAAAGATTATGCATTCCACCCGAACTTTTCTTGGCAACCGAAGTATCGGAAAATTTGGCTGATGGATACATGTTAGAACAAGAACAGTATGAAGCTTTACACTATGAGAGTGAAGATGTTAAAATGCTCCGTGCAAGCGAGGTAACTTTATAATTATAACAAGTTTTGTCATGTTTTATTATATAATTAATTTCTAGACGGTTGAAGAAATGTATAATGCTGCTGATGAAGTGTTAGGTATTATTGGTTTATATGAAGTGGAAGAAGAAGAAGTATCTCATGCTGGTAGTGTTGTTTCAGAAGTTGTAGTTAATTAAATTTTTGTAGGATTAGTTTAAACATTTTATTATAAAAATTTTAATTAAATATAGTATCAATGCAGTTGATCTTTAAATGATCTTTATGTATAAAATGCATAATTTTTTCCTATGCCATCAATCAAACGGAATAAAAAGTATCCATCAATCAATTGCGTCTATACGAGATTGTTTGTTCTTGTGCCTTATTTTGTTGACGCTGACGACGATCTGTTGACGATCAATCGAATTGACATCCACGCGCAGCGAGATGCACAATCAAAGGAGTTCAATTTTCGTCCAGGATCAATTTATTCTTGGTATTTCTGTCATTATGATAGTTTATTCAATTTGTTATCCAAGTGTTTGGTAGATAAATATGACGACTATGTTGCCATATATAGAATACGGAGTAAAAACAAACAGTTTAATCTAATGAAACAAAAATAACTGTGGATTATGTGGATCAATTTGTTATTTGATGTTTGACATATGCTGCTTTATCTAATCATTATAAGCACACCTATTATTATTCTCATATTGAAATTGCATCATTTCCTATAGTGTGCTACTTTTTTTGATTAAATCGATTAGAAAATTTATGGAAAGTTGTTTTTTCTACAAGCGCACCAATATTGAAAAGGCATAAGACACCCCAAGGAGTGATAAAACGGAAATTTCTCTCGATGGTCGTAGAATGGAGTAGACTTGTAAACAGTGTGCAGTTAAATGCTATTTTATTATATTGCAATTTGTGATTATGTTTTTAAAAATAAAAAGAAAAAGAACAAAAATAAAATGTTTTTAAAATACTCGCTTACTTCTTTAATATACTTTTTATAAAACATAATCCTGAACTAAAATAATTATGTTTAATAGGTTTAATTATCTTTCAGAATAAAATGTGTACCTATATTAAATCTTTCACCATGGAATCGTACAATGTGGAAAGTCCCCAAAAGTAGTTACTACATGCACAAAATATATTCATAAAGTTAATTAAGATTTATTCAAATTATTAAAAAGTTAAGTGTTTTTTTTAATCATCACATAATAGCATTATACAAAAAGCGTTTAGAGGTTATGTTTTACTCAAGAGTGCAATCGAGTTATATCTACCACGTTTTAATGAAAATACAAAATTATACAAAAGGCATCTTTTACAATGTTTTTAAATGAGGTTTAAAATGTAATAACTATATTAATTAAATAATATTTCTTTGTATGGTGTTTTATACTAGTTTATGATCAATTTATTAATCACTTACTTATTGCACCATACATGATTCAACGAGTTCCACCCACGAATTTTTCGCATGTGCGTCAAATGAGTTCCAGAATGAACATAACTACATGCATAAATTACATAAATTCCATTTATCGCAAATTCCTGCTACGAAATTTGATGATATCAAATTATCAATAGTATACGGTTTCTCAGAATAATAAGGGTTGCTGGAAATATTTAAAGCTTTATTCACAAATTTTGCATTTTAATGATTTTTAAATGTGTGTTTGCCAATTCATCTCTTTCAGAACAGAACAGTAAATCATTATCTGCGTTTGTCGTTTCTCGATATTCCGAATCAATTGAATAAATCAATGCAATTGGAAAACTATGGAGTGAATAATTAATCCTTTATTTGTGGTTTCTTAATTACTTCAAACTGGCATCCAAACGCATCTCATGTCAACTTGTTTTATTACTGAATAGTCTGGATCTTTACTCGCACTACTGATTAAACTAAAGGGTTTTCATAATATTTAAAATGAATAATTCGCCATTTAATGACATCTGAAATAATAATGACATAGCTCTTTCTATAATTAAACGTTTGTGTGTAATTTTTTGCAATTTTAAACGGTGCTAAAGTTTATAATTAGTTAAGTTAACGTTATCGCTCAGTATAAATAACGTGCGCGTGTTCAAAAGGCTGGAAACATTGAAATCAGCGTAGGTGTTGGTTCATACAGATACTCCTGCGCATCGTGTGCTCCGTTCTTCCTCTTCGGGGGCGCGAAGTCGACGTCGGGCCATTTCAACAGACGCGGACGTGGTCGGTGGTAGCGGCGGCGGGCAAACCCCCGAAACGCGAATATAAAAGCTCTCGATTGTGGACGCGTGTCGTCACTCCTCACTTCGTCGCATCGCGCAGCATCGTATAGCGGTGATTCTTTTGCGTGTGCCGCAAACATCACGCGATCACCCCGCGCTTTTCCATCCGACGCGTTGAACTGTTTACTTCCTTAGCCAACGCTGTGCGAAAATTGAAAATTGCGTCATTCCCTGCGAAAGCTCTAAACCGCAGGAAAAAAGTTAATCGAATTCATTTTTGAAACACTTTATATTTCGTGTTTTAAGTTCTTGAAAAGTGCAAAATTCGTGTTTGTGTGGATAACTCTTTGGATTTTTAACAAATAGAAATGTAAGTATAGTTTAAGAAAACCTGTTGCACTAGTGAAGGAAATAAATTTATATTTCAAATTATATTTATAACAATAGTGTTTCTAAAGTAAATCTTGAAAAGAAATGCTTTGAGTGACTTCACTGTCACTTGATCAAGACAAAAACATTTTATAAATAGGTTAATTAAATTCGTCGTTGGCGGTTTTGAATTGCTCGGATGCGACGGCAGATAAATTTTATAAGGTAATTAAAAGCACAAATACGAAAGAAAATACAACTTGATACCCTCGTATTTTCTTCACAAATAAAATCAAACAAAAAATAAACACGATAAAAAAAACCTAATTTTGAAATCCACGGGTAATGTGAAACCTTAATATCTACACATAAATATTGCTATCTGCATAAATATAATTGTCGGTTAAGACTTGCATTAACATTAAAGCATAAATTATTAATTTAGTAGTTGATTTATTAGATTTAGTAGGATTTAAACTGGCAGTTAGAATTAGATTTTGATCGTTAATTATAATAAGAACTGTTACTTGGCACTGAAATTGGTTAAGTTTTCAAAGATGAAAACAAATTGACCCAACATTTGTATTGTTTGTCAAAGAACTTTTATGATTTGTGATGAAAATCTGCGTGGGGGTTTTCTCAGAGATGAATAGGTTTGTTTATATTTAGGATTCCTCCGATAGTCATAAATAATAATATGTGTACATTCAACGTGGTCACTGTTTTGTCGCGTTTATTTTCATCTCCCACCCGTGGGCATAAATAAATTCATAGCAAACTTTAACTAGCAGTTACTATATATCAACCATTAAATGAAATTGTACACAAACTGGAGATAAAATTACAATACCTTTTCCACCCACATTTTTCTGTTTTGTTTGTGCGTTTAGTTTGAGTAACTTTTCAATTTGCTGGGAGTGTCGAAGTGAACGTGGAGACTTTTCAAGTGTACATACGCATCATATTTATATCATGTGAGTGTATCGATGTCGATAAATTCAATCAGAAACATCCGACAGTCTTGCATTATCGGTTCGCATCCGAACGGCTTTGAAGTGAAGCGAAACGTTTCCAGCGTTTCAACTTGTGGGGTGCGTTGGCGGAACAGTATTTTGACGGTCGTCTGTCTGACAATTGACTCTTGAACCACTTCCATTTCTGGCTTTCCTAATTAACCCCATCAATGATTTACAATGCATTCCTAGTTTATTAATATGGTTTAAGTTAATTAATTTTTTTATTGAATAATTTAGGACTGTGTGGATGAAAACCGCGACGCTCCTACTAGGATTGCAATGCATCACGATGTCGTTTGGTTTGCCTCATCAATTTCCACCGAACGCCGACTTGGAAGCGCCCGCCGACTATTTCGACGCAACAGGCGATGAGAATATAGGTGAGCGATAAATTTCCCCAGCGAACACTTTCCTGCAATAAAGTCGCCACCCGATGCAATCAAACCCAGCAAACCAAACACTCTTTTAATTAGATATGGATAAATATGTAAGCGGCCTGAGTGCGAACATCGAAAACCAACAGGAGGAAAAACTACTGCGTATGGGCAACTATCTGGCTGAAATGTTATTGATGCCGTGGGATGGCAAAGGGCTTCCGTTATTGTACGTGGAGGAAGAAGAACCTAGTTCGTCGTCTTCCATTGAAAATGTTCTCAATTCAGGCGAAGACTTTAGAGAATTGAGTCCAAGGAAGCGATCTCGATTTTACCGCAAATATCCGTACAAACGACAGAACGCAAGACAAAAGTAAGTTGAAAGACCACAATGCAAATCGTTAAAGCAAAAAAAGTTACGAGCTTTTCTGTTACGTCATAATCCGCAGAGAGTCAAGCAAACCGGAATAAGCAGGCATATGTCGTGAAAAATACTCAAAATAGAAAATATACATAATGAACTGTCAGGATTTGCATAACTTCGGCATTAAAACAATCATAAACTAAATAAACAACAATATTGCAATCTCTCAACATTAAATTGCAATTTCGTGAATTATTTTGACTGCAACGCCGATTTTATGAATTAATTTTCAGTTATGACGCCGAAAACCGTTATCTATGTCAACCGAGCAGAGAAGACGTGTACAGACTTCTGGTGGCACTGCACGATTCGCGTCAGGGCGGCCAGGGACGCAACATAAATTTCTGCAATCGCAAGCGGCCGGCCAAGGCGATCTTCACCAACATTCGTTTCATGGGTTGATTCAATGTCTCGTTGCGCGAAGAACAACAATGGAATCTCGATACAAACCTCACTCATTCAATCACACATACGCCGATATACCCACACAGCAACCAAGCCCACGGTTTTCACCCCCATTCACAATTATAGTAGAAACGACGTCAAATCGCTACCGACAACATTCTGATACAACTCACGTTGAACCCAGCAAACAATATGTACTACTTACTAACAATGACCATAGGTGCAACATTATACAATATAAATACTATTGCAATACAGTAGTTACAGAAACTATTCAATGAACGAAGTTTAATGCGGTTGTTGTAACTATATAACTATTCCCACTCATACATGGAAACACATTTCAATGAAGTTAATCCATGCGATGATTTCGAATGAAATTGTAACACTGTTAATTGGTAGCAAATGTCATTTTATTACCTGATCAACAGTGTTGCCTTTTGTGATTTACCACGTGACTGCATGCAACTTCAATATTTTATTTTATTTATTCATTTTCAACTTGATCAATTTCTATGTCATATGCATATTCATGATTTTATTGGTGGTTTTTAATAGAAGGCGCAAACTGTTATTATATATACGTAGTTTGTGTATGGCTAGTATATAATCAAAATATCATCAATTAAATGAAACTATTTTCACACAAATATTAACGCGTACAGATTGGAAACGTCCTCTATCTATTTGTCAAATAATATTCTTTCAAACAGTCATTGCATGTTTGTTCTTCCATTATCTGCAAATTATGTATATTTACATTATATCATTTTAATAAATACGAATAAATGAATATACAATAATAATGTTCAAACATAAATACTACATGCCTATGACTATATCTATTTACTGAAAAAATAATAAACGAGACTATTGCAAAATGAAATTCCTTTGCGTTACTCACTTCTGGATTAAATTCCTTTCAACAGTTTGCTTTTGACATTCTATACTAACTTCCAAGTGTAGGAATTAAATTTAAAATACAACTTAAAAGTTTAATTAAATAACTCGACAAAACTTTGGAAAGTGGATACATGCATAGTTTATTATTTAACGATCAATACTTTATAGTGATTATAAGATAAACTTATTATCGCACGTGATTTCCTTGAACTCAATTTCTTGGACGGTTTTAACATCTTTAAATTTTAGCTCTAATTTATCTTCGGCAGCTTTGTATGGCAAATCTAAAACATAATATAATTATTTTAAAAAGAAAATAGATAATATTATAATACTTACAGATAGTATTATCTGAAACAGAATTACAATCTAAATTATTTTTGTTATTAAGGATAATATTGCACAAAGATTCGTTGTTCTTCTCTTTAGCACTTAAAACAACTCCACAAACTTCTAAAAATTGAATATTATTACCTGACCTGCAATAATCAATATTTTCAACAAACCTGGATACTTCTTACGCAATATAACAGAAACATCATCTAATTTCTGAAGAATCTGCATTGACATTGTCGTATTCTTAGTGGTATCATCTTGTATGCTTTTCAATAGCACAGGTTGATCCAATATACGTTCAGCTGGCGGTATTTCAACACAATCTGTGCTTGATTGTCTTCCGACCATATGTAATTTTAATCCTGATCCAACTCCGGGTTTATATGATACACGTTTATAAATTATTGAGATAACTTGACGATTTTCAAACCTCATATAAACTGAAAAATTTTAATCCATAAAATAATTATTATCTTTTGTTTAGAAAGTGGTCTTACCCATTTCACCAGATAAATTACCACAGTATTGTTTGCCGTTGATTTCTAAATATTCCAAATCGCAGGGAAAATCGAACGTGACGAACGTGATTTCCAATCGACAAACGCTCTATTCAAAACAATTCGATAAGCAGCTTTAAATTTAAATATTTATAAACTATTTATATTTACGTGAATAGAATATATGGATATATATATGAAATTTAATATATACTATAATATAATATTATCTTTTAAATTTTTGTTGGAAATAAGATGTGTTTTTTTAAAGTTAAACAAATTATGCAAGTGTTTAATTTGTAAACAGATGAAGTAATATTTGCAAAATGTTGGAGCTTAGTTTGAGGTTTGTTTAACTTACAGGATTTGCTTTGTACACATCAAAATTGCACATATCCTTGCCATAATCGTAAATGTCGATGGTGAAATAGTCATCCTTAATGTTACGCAAACAAGGCACGTTTGGCGGTAAAGTGGTAGTTGATGTAAACGGCGGCGGTGGTGGCGCTGGAGATTCTGTAGTGCTATAAGGTAATTCCGCACTCGTGCAGGGTATTTGTTCATAAATACCACGGAAACCTCGTCCACCTATTCGATCATTGGTCACAAATCTAATTTGTTCAAATGATTTTCCACTCATGTCAAACAACGCTGCAATTATTCATTAATACATTAATTTTTTGCATACTATATAGTTGGTAATAGCTTCTAATTTTCTTTTAAATTCACGTTTGTTATTAATTTATAACTAATTAAATTCAAAACCCTAAGGAAATTATTTTAATAATACTTAATAATTGACTATATTTTAATTAATATTTCGTATACATACTGAATGTGTTCGCCAAACTCTGCCCGCAATACCGAAAATTATTATTCATCAGCAAATAATCCTTGCGGCAGTCGTAGCTATCTTCAACTTGGAAATCTAACATGATCAAGCGGATTTTGCAATAACCCCTTTGTTTATAAAATCTAAATACATAGATTAGAATAATACAATCTAAACAACACTCATTTTCATATATATTCATACCGGTAGCAGCAGTTTATATTCTTCGGATAATAATATGGATATCCAGGACTTTGGAAATATCCTTTCAGAAAACTATATTCTTTACATCCTGATTCCCGGCTTACTTCAGTCTGAGGAGGTACATAACTATTACTATTAACAGTGATGTCATTGCATTTAGGCATACGCTGCCAAGCGACATCCTTGTTTAATTGATTCCATTCATTACTATTCCATAATGTACATTTATTTAAATCAAATCCACTCGGATATAAAGCATTTAAATCAGTGGTTTCCAAATAGTTAGTTTCTTCAACATCTCGTGGTTGTTTATTGTAAGAGTAAGAAACATCGTAGGTGTAATCCGGGCTGTCAAAGTAGTAGACATGTTTGACCACGCGTGGTCGAAAACCTAAATCAATCGGCTCGAAAACTTCAGTGTTTCCATTCAACAACGCCGATGATAACGCTTCATGCGTTAAATTTGGAAAACCAACTCGATTAAATTGATCTTGATAAAAATTAAATCTGGGAAGTATTTCTGCTGGATGATTAGAAATTTCTGATGAGTCTGGTAAGTATCTTTTCGGACATTCATCTTGAATCACTTCCAAAGCAAATCCACTGAATGCGTGGCCATCAAAATTAGCTCCTATATTCATATAGCGGAATACTTTTGTATTGCCAAAGTGACCTTCAAATGGTGATACTAGTTTTAAACCAGTGTGGCATCCACAAATTAGTTTACCATCAATTTGGAGATAACCTCTAGTGCATGATGAATCTTGTTCACCAACCCAAAAATAATGCATTTGTATTCTTAAACGACACACCTTTTGACTTGCTCTGTAGATAGTAAAACTACATTGAGCAGGTGAGTTGGGGCTATGAGGAAAACCTGGACTTGAAATGAAGAAACGTTTAGCACTGTAGGTGGCTGCACAACAAGATGGTTCCTTCGCGTTAGGGTATAGCTCACTTGGAGGGGCCTTAGAAGTCGGCGGTAAATATGGCCTGACAGGCGTTTGTGGTTGCCGTGTAGGTACATAAACCGGAAATTGCGTTGGTCTGAATGTATCAGGTCTTACTGGAGGTGCAAAGACATTTGGAACATTTGTTGTAGTAGGTTGGTTTTCATTGGGGTCTCTTGACACCACAGGTGGATTATTCGTCAAACATAAAGAGCGAGATACTAATATCCGGAATCCTCTTGCAGTGGTATCACCATTACTTATAAAATTTAGTTCTAAAGTACCAGAAGATGTAGCATACTGCTTAAAACCGTCTTTAATTCCACATAGGGCATCACGAATTTTCACTTCTAAGCGATCATTAACACAACCCAATGAATTCTCTAAGTTGAAATCCAAGAATTGTAATGTGTAATTGGTTTGGCAGTACGGTCCTTTGAATATGTACAAACAATTTGCATTGCTTGGATAGTTGCTTGGATACCGTGGACTTTCAATTATAAATTGTGGTTGTGAGAATATCCCTCCACAAGTGGCAGCCATTTGTGCTTGATCCTCCACTTTGTCACCATTGTCATTGATGTTAGATCCACTTGTTCGATTGTTGATGCGTTCCTCTGTTTCAAGAATTATGCTAGTAGCGTTCACTTCACGGTCACGTGGTCTATTTCCTCGTAATTGTCTTTTGTGACGTATTAAATCAAAACATATTACTTGGTTAATCAGTAAAATAAAAATCACTAATGTATAAAGCACTGTCTTTTTAAAAAATATCATTATTGCAATTATATTGTAAGAATAAATGTGAAAAACACTAGAAGACAAACATGCTTGTAATTAATTGTTGTTGAACGATTGTCACAAGAAGACTGGAGTATGTTCCGGTAACAGAACTCTTTATAACTCTTTACGTCAACCACATGATAATGTAATATTGAAATACAATATTTGTGCAAGTTGGTATACCTGTGTAAACGTGTGTAAAGACGCTCGAACAAAAATGATGTGAATGAAAAAGTGTGTAACATACTTGGTACACATCTTAATAATTGTTTAAAAACGTTTACAAATTAAACATTAACATTTAATGCAAAGTTTCACTGTGAAAAAAAAACTTGCACTACCACAACATCCGCTGAAGTCATTTGCTGTGAACATTTTGTGTGATTTTGACTGATAAAATACCGCAATGCAAACGCACAGACGTGAACAGGAAAAGAACATCACATATACCTACAAGTAATTTCTGCGCAGGAAAGAAGAATTGGATATGGGCAGCACCGTGACTCATTATGAAACTTAGTTTGGCGACAGTTTAACACATTTAAATATCCAACGTTTACTTTTTACTTACAACAAAAAAGTAAAAATAGATATATTTTAATGTATGGAATATTGCAGACGTGTTTATCTATGTCCTTAAAATGATTATTAAAAAAATTAAAATGAAATGTATATTTTTTCAACTTAACAGGTTTGTTGACTTCTCTATCATTTTAAATTACCAAAAAGTCATAACGAAAATATGCCACTATTATCAACACATAAATGTGGCAAGTTGAATTTCATGTTTTGAATATTTGGCTAGCTAATACCTATATAATGCGAGTCTCATTCGTTCTGCATTTAAAATTCTTTTAAGTTGTAACAATATGTCAGTAAATACCAAATTCTCTATGATCGATCATAGTTATGGAAAAAGTAAGATTAAACTTCTATACGTCAATAAAGAGAATAATCGTCATGATGCCGCCGAATACGAAATTGATATAATGTTAAAATTAGACAATATTAATGATTACACAATAGAATGCAATAAAAGTGTAATTGCAACTGACTCTCAGAAGAATACAGTGTATATTTTAGCGAAAAAGTACGGCATCAAGAGTCCAGAAGAGTTTGGACAGCAAATATGCAAACATTTTTTAGGAACTTATCAGCAAGTTACATCTGTAACAGTTAATATTGCTAAACTGCCATGGAACCGAATAAATATCAATGGATCAGAGCACAATCACGCATTTTTTTCATGTGGAAACAATGCCATTGATACTAGTGAAACAAGAATAGCTACAATCTCTCAACGAAGAAATAGTATGAAAACATTACAATGTTATATAATTAAATGTAACATTAAATTATCTTTTTAGGTCCACTAATTGTTTCTGCTGGAATAGAAGGATTAAGCCTATTGAAAACGAGCCAGTCTGGCTTCACAGGCTTTGTAAACGATGAATATCGTACTTTACCAGACCACAAGGATCGGATATTTAAAACCATTGTTTCTGCAAGCTGGGAATATCAGAAAACTTGTTGTTCATCAATAGATTATGATAACCTATATAATAGGATCAGAAATATTACAATAGAAGCATTTGCCGGTAATTGCAAAGACGGAATTTACTCTTCGTCTGCACAGAGTACATTGTTTAGAATCTGTGACCAAATATTAAAAAATATTGCCCAGGTAAGAAATCAGTAATCATATTTGTACCAATAAACTTCTTATTTTTATAGATATCCGAAATTACCATGAAAATACCAAACATACATTATTTAGATTTAGATTTTACAAGATTCAACAAAGTATTGTCTGATGAAATAAAAAACGCTCATCAAGTTTATCTTCCTCTGGAGAAACCATATGGAGTTATATTTGGAACCTTAAAACGCAATTCAAGCAAACTTTAATTATTTGTAATACTGTCGCTGCCATCTACAATCGCTAGGAAAATATGTTTGGTAGATAGTTCTAATCTTAGCATATAGATGGCACTTTACGTACAAGTTAGATGTTAGGTACCTACTTATTCAAGTAAATTCATATTTGTTAAGAACTGGTGTCGAAGCACAGCAGCGCGGCTCAAAAACGAGTTTTTTGCATTCCAATATAAATGCAATTAGTTAAAAACCCCTGTGCGCATTAGATAAAGACTTAATTTCTTTTTACTATATTATAATATCAATATATCAATGCTGTGCATTTAGTATTTTCTTAAGCATTTTCTTCAAAAACTATGAAATATAATTTAAATATTGTTTAATAAATAGATTAAATATGGGAAGCAAAACAAAAAACAATTTTTTATGAGTGGTGCGAGTATGCTTGGAAATTCCCTTTTAAGGAGTACTAAATCGATAGTACTTAATAATATTTTACTTTATTTTATTTATACTTGATAATAAATTAAATTTTTTTGTCTGAGTTTGACATGTTTTGGAAAATATTTTTATCAAATGTGACTAATTTGGGATATTAGAATGTTAGAGTTTTGATGATTGCAATTTTACAACTTTATTAACAAACAATTAAATACAGCCAAAAGTATATTTTGTTGCAAATAATTATATATAGCCAAAACCAAAAGAAAACATGTGCCTATTTCTCTAATAGGATCATTAAATCATTATATCTACATTAAAACACCAATTACTTGATTATTTCGGCCCACTTCTGCCAGAATCTGGTCGTTTGTGCGTGCACTGTCATAAATTGTTTACTAATTTGTGCCATTGATATTTTGACAATTGTATTGCAAGTAAATATATTTGGATATTGGATCGTTGTTTTGTGTGTCAATGTCATAAGCAAATCTTCAAGAATAAGTAGACAATTGTAACAATAATTATACATGATTTAATTTCTACTAGGAAGGATATACACCATTTAGAAATGATTGTATTGTATCCAATATTCCATATAAGTTTTGAATAATTAATTGCCTTTGCATTTGAATTGTGTGGTGTTATAAAAATTCGATATTGTCATTAAACAAAAAACATAACATAAATACACACGCGCGAGGAATATAGGTTATCAGAAAATCGGTGTATTGCTAATGTTTACACTGGGTCAAAAGAGTTGTTATAGCGACATACAAAAAACAATAGTTTGCTTTATCATTCCTACCTTCTGTCCAGTAAAAGTATTTCTTTGAAATATAGAGCAGACTAACTTACTGATTGGGTTAATAACTAACAAAAGAGTAATATTTATTAAATTACGTTTAATATTGGTGTTACTAATCACGGCAAAACCAAACTCGTGCGATATGGGAGGCAATTTAATCAATTACGTTTTCTAAATAAAATACGGACGCAAGTAAATTCGTATGTGCAATAAAGGTCATGTCGAATGCGCATTACTCTTGACATTTGTTAAGTGCATCGCGTGTTCCAAAACAACTAAAGTGTCACATTACGTATGTGTCAGTCATTACGTATTGATTTTAGTCATAATTCGTAAAAACGTGAAAAATCTTTCTAATAATAAATATTTATTATATTAATTTGAAAGAAAAAATAAATATTATACAATATGCTGGTGTTTTATTTCTATAAGTGCACATATGACATATAAAATTATAGGAAATTTTTAAATCTATTGTTTAAACCACACGATTGATAACACTAGTTATCTCAGTGATAGTTTCCTATTGCATAAACAATTTTTATATAGTAGTTTCGACATACAATAGTCAAATCAAATAAACTTTCAGTTTTAAGTAGTTATTCCATAGATAATACAATTATATGATAGAAATTAGATAAAACGCTTGAAATGTATTGTGTAATAAAAGATGGCAAGTTACTGTATTTTTGGAAAAAAAAAATAAAACAACACAATTGATTATAACGTGCATCACTCGAAGCCGACACAACATAATTGCAACAATCTAGTAAGATAAAATAAAATCTGTTTTCTATGTTCACAGAAAATATCACTGGAAACGTCATTTTGGAAGCTCAGCAGAGTTGTCAAGCAAAGAGTAAACGAGTGAACGATTAACTCACTACATACTCGTACTACACGCATCCTACTGGCGATACGCGAGAAGTACCTACAAGTCAGCAGGAAAGTTGTGGCTTGTGGCGTGCGAGTAAGTTCGTTTCACGGTTTCAGTTTAGTTGCGCTTCGGCGATGCGAACTAACGGACGCGCGACGACGTTGCTATCGACTTAGTTTAATCGTGCCTCCTCCGCGAGTCTAACGTGAATCGATTCGAGATTCACGCAAAAGTACGCAAAAGTTTTTTAAAAGTTGATCAAACTGCCACAATTAAATTTATTCAATGTGTGTTTATAGTTATTGGACTTCTTTACAAACGTGAAAGTTTTAAACTTTTTGGACCAACTTCTGCACTCCTTCATTTACTCTACGTACCAATTTGTGTTCAATTTATTTAATTAAACCTGGTTCACTGAAAAGGATTCAATATGCTCGTATTTGAGGTATGTGTAAATTTGTAAATATTATGATTTGTCATTGTTCGGTCAGTTTGTTTATTTAATGTTTTGTCGGGTTCGATATCAACTTGCTTAATAATGCAATATTTGTTCTCTGATTTCCTTGGTTTTCGCCTTTGTCTTCTATTAACTTGATATATAAGTTGAATTAAAGTACATCAAGTGCAACTTGATCATTAGCCAAATGAACTTTGTTTCTAATAGTCTACACTCGTATTAATTATTATTATCTATTCTTGTGGAATGACAATAATTTAACGTAGTGTCTATGTGCAATATACCTACGTGCACACAATTATTTATTGATTTATCTAATTAAGCCTGATTCGTAGTATATTTAATTGTATTCGTCGTAAGTTTATTTGATACCCATAGCTATCGATATGGGTTTTGATAACAAAGTAATTGTTTTTAGAATTAATTACATGTTTAATCATTTGTAAAACAACGTGTTGTCTTGGAATGTTGAAAAAATCCTATTCATTCATTTTCCCACTATTCATAGTCGTAAGCGGTATTACAGTTACGAGTAACATTAAACCTAGGATTCTTAGCACAATAGTCATCAATATGCATTAAATCACTCTTACTCACATGTTGGAGTTTGCACAAATGTTTATTATAATTACCTTGATAAATAGGTAATACGGGGAATGAATCGTTAAGTTGTAAAACAAGTGAATCATACTGAATCTCCCGTTAAATACTTTCTTTTTCTTTTCCTGCTACGAGCAATGAATTGTATGGAATCTATGACATGGCGTGACGTGTGCGAGTCGTAAACGAGCACGTGTGTTTTAGTCACTTTTGCACAATTTTGAATCGAACTAATATAAAATGTACAGTTTGATAATTTCAAAGTAAAGATTTAATTGTAATAATATTAGGTACTACCTTTTACTTTTGCAAGTTTAAAATCTATATGTAATTTGAAAGCTGATTACTATTACCAAGCATGTTTAACCAAAAATAGGTATTGTAAACTTACTTTATAAAAAAAAGTTGTAAAATTTAAACAAGATAAAATATGACAATCTCAGTTTCTTTATAATTTCACAATAATTTTGTACCCAAAAAATTTTAAATTTCAATGAGTCACAAACACAAATTTTCGAAATTAAATTCTAAGAAGGATGATACACCTCAGTTATGGTGAATGAATATGGAAAATGCATTTATTAATTGTGATGAATGTTGAAAGACGTTTTCAACATCAAGAAACGTCATTCAAGCATGAAAACAAAGACAATGTCTCACAAAAGAAAACGAGAATAAGATAGTATCGGTCGCGCAGCACCTTGAACTTAAAACAAAACGTGATTCACTTGTTCGCCCATTTACGAAAATAACACTTCGACACCGTGTGGTTGTCCTACGACACAACCTACGCGTTTCCTTCAATGCATCTTAGAGAATACGTTCATGTGCGAACAATATGTGTAAGCGCAGCGCAATTAAAACAAACTAATACCCATTAATGTAAGGCATTTATTTAATTGGTCGTGTAATTTACAATTAATATTAAACGAAATACAATGACCTCAATTTGAAACCGTCCACTGACATTAATAATATAATACAACACAAAATAGCGATCATGGAACAAGCACTTTTTAGAATAAAGAATGGAGGCACACTTTTTTTTTCAATAAATGAGTGAGCGAAATGGATTTAGCAAAGCGTTTAACTTTTTGTTGATATTTTTTATATTTAAAATTGGTTTATTAATAAAATATTGCTGCTCGAGGTGCAAAGTGTGCCAAATTTTTACCAGATTAACTATAGAATTAATTACATCGTTTTCTGTTGTTGTTTAAAGTGGCACAGATTAGGAATTTAGATCCACTTCGACACAGTACGATAAATACTCAAGGTTTGTGGTGGATAGTCTAGTGCTGATTATATTGTGCAATTGTGCATTTTTGTGCTGCTCCCGCATTTGAGATACATAAAACATAGATAAACAATGTATTGTGGAGGCAATATGCTACATACAAATTAATATTGTGTTTCATTCATAGCCTATTTTATTTATATCTTATTTGCTTATAATTGTACAATCATCAACAATCGAGCATTACGCTTGTGCATTGTGCTTGTTTCTTTGTGTACATGGCTTAAGTCATGCAGTTTGCATATCTTCACTTAACTTCAAGGCTAAATGGCGATGGTGCGTTGAATTTAAGATTCTAGGTGTACATTTGCATGCTGTTAATTATTATCGATTGAATTTTCTCAATCGTACCATATAATAAACATATAATAAAAATATAAAATAAAGAAAAAAACATGCTTGAATTATGGTAAGACTTGTTTTCAATGCCAGAATGTTATGATCGTCCCAAATACAGGAAAACGTGAAGTTCCATGTAAATAATCAGTCACTAAATATTCTTGTCACTACCTAATTTGGTGTAACACGGATATTTAAACCATATTATTTG